TGTATGCTTTGATTACAGAGGACCAGTTTCCAGAACCTCTGTGATAGACAACAGAGGTTCTGTCACTCTAGACTTGTATGATTGAACATCTTTTGTTGTTGGTCCTCTGTGGTCTTCTGTGGTGGAACCTCTTCTGTCAACACTTGCAGTATTTACTTTTTCCATACTTTTACATTAAAAGAAATGAGAGCTAACAATTCCTCTCGTGAATGTTCAATGAAGACATCATAATGGTTCAGAGGCTACTTGGGAACTTGATAAAGGAACGAGATTGAGATGGCCTCATTTATTTGCATAGAGCAAATTTTGAGGACAAAATTTTGTTAAGGGGGAAAGTTTGTAATAACCAAAAAAAAAAAAAAATAAATAAAAGGAAAAAAATTGAATGTAATTTAATGACAGGAAACTCAATGGTCATAAAACCTACGACCATTAATTATGGCTTATCGTTTCATATTCCGTGAAACCGCCGATGAGGCTTAGTATAAAATGAGAGTTTGTAGATTTATGTGTAGTTTGGGGGTCAAGAAGGAGAACTATTGTGAGAAAAGGCGACGGTGGACGCTGTAATGAGAGTCGACGGTGTTGTACATCAAATATAGTTCGATGCCAGTCGGGAGACGCTAGCCTCTTAGAGAACAGTTTGGACTACGACTTGTACAGTGAGTTGTATGTGATTTATTTTTAAAATGGTTGCATGCCTTATTTTTGATATGTTATATATGTGTGAAAAGTTCGATATTTTTATAATATGTGTTTTGAGTATTTGTGTGTCAATGGGGATGTACTACAATATGATTTTATAAAGACGAGCATGCTTTGTGAGCTTGTCTAAGCCGTAAGTGCGGACATGTTGTGTGAGTTCGCCAGGTAATGCTGTGTGAAGTAGACATCTTCCATGACGCTGTTGCTTTGTGATGTAGACACGCACTATAATATAGTTATTTTGTGAAAAAGATTATTCTCATCAAGGCATGCTAAATTTATGAAGCTTTGTGAAAATTGTTTATTGTAAAAGTTGTTGTTCATGCATGAAAACCGTGGATTCACTGGGCATAAGGCTCACCCAAAACTCTTTTAAGACTTTTTCACTCAGACGGCCATTAGACTGAAAAGAAAAGTTGGATAAAGGGAGGTAATGATTAACTCCAAAGAAGGTTATGTGCAAATCAAGACATTGTTATATAGAGCAAAGTTATGTTCCTCAAGATTGAAATTTAGATAGTGATATAATTTGTAAGATTGTAAATTTTATTTCCGCTGTAATGTAAGTGTTTGATCTTGGGATACTTGTTTTGTTATATTTAAGTATTCAAAATTTTGAGATGTTACATTCGGCTTTCAACGTTTTTTATCTTAAAAAAAGTAAGACAACTCAAAAAATATGTATATAATAAGAAATGTCAAAATACTAGTGTTAAATCTAAAAGATATTAAATCCTATTCTTTATAAATAACTAGGAAGCCCTAATAATAATAATATAATAATAATAATAATAGAAGCAACATACATGCACTAATTCATGGAGATGAAGTACTAAATCAGATGTCAAATTGTAAATAAATGCAAATTAAGGAAAAAAACACGTGGTAGTTACTATAAGAAAAACTGACAATAACAAATCTATAGTCTAGTTTATATGGTAAGAATCAACATGTTATGAGTTTCCACTCAATAAACTTGGATCGGGATGTTGACAACTTTCCAATATAAGGAACAAGGATAAGACACCAGGCATTGTTCGACATGGTTCTGTTGCCAACAGAACTCGGTTTTCAAAGAAAACGAAATAATAAAATACAGTTGACATTATCGTAATATGTAGAAAAAAATTAAATCCAAATTGGCTACATATGTGTTGCAATTATATATGTTTCCCCTGCATTTATTATATAGGGATGAAATGATTTCTAAATTCTTATATTTGATTAATACTGGAACATTAAGTAAACAATTATATAACTGTATATTTTCTGTCACATCAGTTACTTTTTTTTTTATCATTATCTTAATTATTATAACATGACTTACCATAAATTATCAATTACAATTGAGATCAAGGTTATAGATGATGGGATGTCAAGCCTCAAATTTTATGAGTTATGGTGAAACCACGACATTTATTAAGGCATGCCCTGAGGTGGCACACACATACACAATTTAAATTCATATAAATTTATAAAACAAAAAAAGAAATAAGAACCATTGAAATATAAACCTTATAAAAATGATATCAGAATGCAAAATTGGGATTAAATCTCATAAATCTTTATTCATTACTTTTTTTTAATATTCAAAGAATATGTGTTCAATTCTTCATGTACAAGAATGACAAGTAAATATTTATCAATTTAGGTTTTAGTTTCTAAGTTTTATTTTTATATTTATTTAAGTCTCGAGTTTAATATTAGGAAAAGATAAAAAACCCACATCTTGCAAAAAAATGTACCATAACCCATCAAAACACAAGCAAAACCTTAGAGCAGAAGCACACATATTTAAGATTAACTACTAACGAAGTCAAGTCTCAATGCCATAAAACGTGATTACGAATTATTTACAACTAGATTGTTATCACAATATTCATTGAACTATTAATTCTTTTAAAGTTTTTCTCATAAATTTATTTGTTAGGACTGAAAATCAGTGTTAAATTGTATTCGTCTTGAAAAGATAAATTTTGTCTATAATTGTTGAAAAGTCATCGTGTTTGACTTTCCTGCTTGTTTGATCTTTGACTTTGAAGGGTTAATCTTTGACCCTATATATAGATTTTCTTAGTGTAATATTTGGTAAGAGCTCATTGTAAAATTCATACGTATCATTTTGAGAGTAATAAAACATTGACCAGAGTTTGACTTTCTCTCTCATCTATCTCCTCTCATGTTCTTGATTGTAAATCTTAGATCTGCCATGAATCTTGAAGATATTTGAAGATTGATCACATTTAGGGACTTACATTATTTTTTATGCTTGTTAATGCTGTTAGAAAGATAAACAATAATATAATTACAAAGAGTCTTAATTCAATATTTAAAAGAATAATGGGTGATCAATTATATGATTTTGTAGTTTATTAATGATAAAAACCATTTGCCATTCAGTATTAATTGACATTTGATGGATCCAATTAGACCCACACAATGGATGTGAATGTGCTGCTGATTCTATCTATACTAGGGGGTGGAGGCACTACAAGAAAAATGACCTTTAGAGAAGGTATTATTTTGTACTTAAAAGTCTTAAAAGCTTCTCTAAAGCCTTTAGATAAGCTTTTCACTTTTGTCAAAGAGCTTCTCTGTGTAGTGGTAGGTAAAGGTTTTAGAGAGGGTTTTCGGAGGGTATGTTTTTGTTAGCATTTAGAGACGCTTATTTGAGACTTTAGATACACTTTCAAAACTTCTCTAAAGATTAGTCAACTTTTTATTCAACGCTTCTCTAAAAGTATATATATTAGTGACACTTTTCAAGTATTTGTGACGGTTTGTAAGAGTTACTAAAAGATACTTTTAGAAAAGATAATGGAAAAACTTCTCTAAAAATATTGGCTTTAGTAACACTTTTAAAAAACTTCTCTAAAAGTCCTCATTAGTTACACTTACAAAATCTTCTCTAAATATGATATTTAGATACACAAACTCAAAATCTTCTCTAAATATTATCTTTAGTTACACTTTTAAAAAATCAATTCCTTCTCTAAAAAATATATTATATATTTATTTCATTCATAATTCAGCTGCATATAT